CACAGACCTCCTTTCAGATAACTGCATTTTAGCTTTGAATTATTTTGTAGAATTGGTGAAGGAAGAGCATGTTGGAGCTTAGGAAATGCATATACAGCTCTGGGAAATCACGATCAAGCAATGCATTTTGCTGAAAAGCACTTGGAAATTTCAAGAGAGGTATGAAACTAAAAAATTGCTATCTGTGCTATTGTGATTCACAAACTATCAGGAGGGAAAGTCCTATTCTCTAGATTGCTACTATATGGCTCAGTAATAAATTTAATCATATATTATTCTGTTGGCATCAGAACTGCAGAAAGCATTTTGAGATACGGATCCGAGGTATGTTTGCAACTGGCCACCATGTAGGAAGACAGGAAGATAAGGCCGGTCATGGGGGAATAGAAGGATCACCAAAATATTCCTCCATTATATCCCCATTTATACATGGAAAAATAGCATGGTATAGAAGGAAAATGCGATTTTTAGAATCGAGGATTGTTTCCTGTTATAGCTCTGCCACTTGTTGGCTATTTGAGCTTGAAAACCTTTTCTGTATCTCATTTCTCTCATCTGTAAAATGGGAATAATATCTACCTTGCAAAGCGTTATAAGGATTAGAGATAATGTATATAATGTGCTAGCTTAATAAATAAATGTTAACTATTACTGCAGTATGGACATAAAATATTCTAAGGAAATTTTATTCATGGGATGCCAAGTTAATGTGTCACAGAATAATCACTATTATTTATAATCATTATTTATAGTAATCATTATTAATATGATTACAGAGATTAAGAGCAATCTAATAGAGGACTAAAGAATTGATAGAATATAATTAGCTGTCATGTTGTCATATTTTAGAAACATCCCTTCTTTCTTTAAAAAAGCTATTAATGAAAAAACCCTTTTCCTTCATAGTCTCATAACGCTAATACTACTATTTTCATTTCTCTATATTTTCTTCCAGTTTTAGATTCACAACATTTTCAACTGATTTTCACCATCCTTTGTCTTTAAGTACTACTCTAAAATGTAAATGCTTGTGGTTGTAGGTTGGGGATAGAAGTGGTGAACTAACAGCACGACTGAATCTCTCAGATCTTCAAATGGTTCTTGGTCTGAGCTACAGCACAAATAATTCAATAATGTCTGAAAATATTGAAATTGATAACAGTTTGGATGGTAAGTAATAGGTCTGCAAACCCAACTTCTTTAGCCTTAAGATTTATATTTAGTTATCGCATGTTTACGATATCCAGAGAGAATATAGAACATAAGAAGCTCAACTTTTTATTAACAGAAGTTAATGAAATTAAAACAAAGATTCAGGAGAGAGAATTTTAAAAAACAAAAACAAATTTGATTCTTTAAAAAGACTAACAAATCTACAGCAAGATTATCCAAGAAAAAAAAGAGAAGGGGACATAATATAGATGTGGCAGAGGTTAAAAAGATAAGAGATTATCATGAAGAATTTTATGAAACGATATTTGAAAACCTAGAAGAAATGGACAATTTCTAGAAAAACAACTTACCAAAACTGAAT